GAACTTAACTCATATAAGTGACGAAAGTATGGGGGAAAGAATACAGTGGAAGTGAGCATACAAACTCTGTTTTAAAAAATATCGAATTGCACTTTTTTCCTTCAAACTTTCCTTAGAAGGGTCGAAGTATTGAAACTTCTTATTCAATTCATATTTATTCAGTATAATCAACATAATAATAGTATGTCTTCTGCCAGCTCATCTTTATCTTTCCATTTTCTATCCTTTGAAAAAAAAATAGAATAGATTTTTATGAAAAAAAGGAAGAGGAAAAAATCCTTCTGAAATTCCAATAGTAATCTAGAAAATATTGATAAATATAGACTTTCATCATCCGCTAGTCGAAGCATACTCTTCTTCTTCTTCTTCCTTTTTTAGATATGAGCTTAAAAGACAATAAATGATAGCTAATTTTGCGACATTGAAAATATTGATGCTATCAGTAAGCAATCGAATGGAAACACTGGGAACGATGAAACTGTTTGCGTTATCATGAGAAATGCTACCGATAATTTATCATGTGAAAATCAAAGTAAAATTTTGTTCGAACTGATAACGCACAAATTTTCTTTTTCGTTTTTATTCTCTATTAATTATTAACGCTTAAATATTTTTAAAGCTTAAATGAAATTAAAATTTTAATCTCATCATTCTAATACTCAAAAATTCTATTAATAATTGAATTTTATAAATGAACCATTTCTTCCTAAAATCAAACTAAATATTAATAATTCATCGAGAGTTAAACTTAACAACATATCCAATAGTTGTTTATTCTTCTTAGCTATCTAAATTTTATGAAGTTCTTACTTACAGATGGCAAACTGGAAAAAAAAGAAATTAAAAAGTAATTTACAAATGAAACTAAATTAAAGTTAGGAAACGCAATTTCATTTCCGGAATGAAAATGAAATTCAGAGATGTATTTTCAGGCTTATCATTTATCAGGAATGCAAATAGTGCATAATTTATTTTGTAGACTTTCACGCATAAATACAAGGAATTAGTGACATTTAAAGCTTAATTTCAAATAACACTACACCGAAGATTTTTCATCATAATGATATTATCTATCTTATTGCGATCCGCTTTATACATTCTCTTAATTCTCTTAACACAGTTATACCTTGCAAATTTGTTGTGAAATGTTTGTTGCTTAATTTATCAATAATTTTTATTAGATTGTTGGAATAATTGACAGCTCTCGTGCTTTTACATTTCGCGATAAGATGATATGATGTAATATGTAATAGATGAATAGATCATTGATTAGCTAAGAAAATGCTCCCGTATTCATCCGATGAAACCCGATGAATCGCAGATTTTTACTTCTTATATTATAAATAATTCAATTAGTGAAAATTGGAAAGTTTTTAGAAACATATTTCTAAAGTTCTTAAATTTATTAAAAATCCTTACATAAGAGGAAATGGTAATATAATTATTAATGATTTAATAAATGATAACAAATAATATTGGCATCATAAAATTGCATTTCATTCTTAAAGATTGAAATAAATTTTATTGAGCTTTCTAATTTCGACTTAAAAGCAAAGAGAAAACGATGAAAGGAAGAACATTTGAAAGAGAAAATAAAATGGATGGTAGATGAATCAATCAGTTTTCTTTCCCATTCTCAATGAGGGATTTATAAAAAAATTAGACCTCTTACTCTTACTAGAAAAGGACAAAAGAAGGTATAAAAAAAGCCTTCCTCCACTAGGCTACTAGGCTACCAGGCTACTAGGCTTATCTACTATTTGGATGAATACTAAATGATTCTCATTTCTCCTTTTTCATAAATGAAAATGACAACAGAAAGTGAGAAAACTGAACTTTTCCTACTAAAAATAATAAATTATTAATGTTTATTAAGAAATTTATCATTGAAAGTTTTACCTAGGTAGGTTTAAGATATGCATTGTTATCAGCTTGATATCATATGATATCAATGATATTTGTTATTTTCAATTAGATCACATTGATCGTAACATTTATGCCGCAGAGAGGTATTATTTGGTAAAAATAAAAACTGTCGCTGTTAGAAAATTTACAATAACAATATTATTAAAGTAATATGAAATAGAGTGAACTGAGCAAAAACTGCTATTATCATATTCTACAACAAAGAAAAGTTCTTTAAATTATCGCTGAATTGATTTCATACAATTAGGAGCTTATTTTTACCAATCAATATGACGTACTTATGAATTTTCATGAATCAAATTAGAAAATGAAATAATAATTACGGATAATTTATGAGTTTCCATGATTAATTATTGGAGGAAGAAATTGTGGTGAAACAAAAAGTGCAGAAAATTTTCAACAATCTGATGAAGAAGAAACTGAGTACAAAGCGTGAAGAACTTTCATTTACTACTTGACTTCCAAAATATTTATTATTTCTCAAATTCCAAATAATCAATGTTGTATCAAATCTGATCATAACAATATATCATTATAGTCTTCTCTTGAGTAAGAGAAGACTACAATGATATATTACTCGAGGGTTTCAAATAAGAGGACAATAAATCTTTGCTAAAAGCTATTTGTAAAAATGAAATTATAAAAGGGACCAGTTATTTTAACTTAAACTTTTAAAGAAGTCAACAAGCGACAAAATTGCTCTAAAATAACTATGACTAATAAAAGCGACTCTTCCGTGTTCAAAGGCATACATATATATATTTATCTATATTTTTCACATTAAATCTCATCTGATACACACGCACTTTTGATAATTAATCAGCCTATAATCATTTATTTACCTGCATTTCCGTTCATGTTCTTGAGATGAAAGTAAGTGAATAATTAAAAGTTAAAATATTACAAGAATATTTTTATTTCTGCATTTGATAATAAAACTGTAACTTCGTCGTTTTTGAATTCCGAAACAAGCCTTTTAACTATTTTCAAATTAATTTCCAGTAATAAAGAAAATCGAGTGAGAAACTCTTAAATAGAAAATTTGGGGCAAATAGAAAATTCCCATCTACTAGTTTTCGTAGAAATTTCCTATTTATTTAACACAGCGTTTTACTTAACAAAATGAAAAGTATAGATCAGACAAAGAAAAGAAACGACGATTAGGAATGTAAAACTAATCATTCAGTATTTATGATCTTTGGCGCTAGAAATAACGAATGCTAAATTAACTAATTTTAAGAAATAACAATGATATGTAAAATTTTCCAGTGCAATAGATATAACTTAATAGGAAATTTCAACCTTTCAATTAAAACAATTAGAATAACAGTGGGCGTCTATGCATAACAAGGATACGAGATAGATTCCCCTCAAGAATTTTAAAAGCTTATCTGAACTAGGTGGCAGAAATAAACATATAGCTGATTTGTTTTTACATACAAAATCAAATATTCAAAAATCTTAATCCCGTTACAAATGTTGATAGCAATTTAACACTTGCTCTAGCTGTTAGCATAAGTTAATCTTAAACATCTGGCTATGTGAAATGCATAAAAAAAGTTCAAGCGTAAGTCGAAAAAAGTCCGAATTATATTGCAAATGAAAAATTAAATGAAACGGCAGCAAGGAAAAGGAACGGAGTCGAGACGAAGCAGAACTGAGCCTATGCACTAAGGGTGTGCCTGCTTGAACACTTCTGTGAATTTTAATCAGCTCAGCTTGAAATTTTATTAGACTCACATAATCGGGTTCTATTGCGAAAAATAAACGAATGGTAAGGCTTACAGCGAGTTAAACTGAGCAGCTGTTCCGTTTGTCTGTGATTGTAATGTGTCTTTGTTGAGGATGCGAAGTGAAAAATAGTTCGAGAAAACAGCCAACTATTCTTCCACTACCTTGACACCAGAATTAACTCATCAATCACTACTGACCTCCGAAAGTGACAGTTTAAATTTCAATTCCATTATATTTACAAGATTTTAGATCTTTTTCGATCTCGATTACACGATCATTTTTCTTTCGAAATTTTAAATCTCCCAAAACTAATTAATTTTTAGACCATGTATATGAAAAAATCCTAGTGAGATTGCTGCAATGTGAAGCAAATCACACAGTTTAAAAATTTATCATTCAATATTTTCGAAAATTCGCTTAGCAATTTCAAGTAATATACTGGAAAAAAGACACATAAATAGCATTTCCTATATGAATTGGTTTACACTACAAACATTATTAGTAAAACTGTAAACGATTTACAATTAAAAAGCTCTCGCAAACAAAGAATAACTGCACCTTAAGATGAAGAAAGTTGTAAAGCAAAAGCTGAACGCCTTTCAAACGCATAATTTTCATACTTTTCCAAATCAACTTGTTTTGGAATTTTAGACCCTCGCCAAGCACATTCAACACTTTCAGTATAAATTTTTATAGAAGCCTTCGACACTGGCAGAAGAGAGACCTGGAATTTTCAAAAAATTTTCAAAAAATATTTTTTTTCAGCATACAATTTCAATGAAACTTCAAGCTTTGCTATAAAAACTCGAAAATCGACATATTAAATATAAGAATACAAGGGGAATACAAAATTATTAATAAAGTAAAGTACTGACCGAATGTACACTATCTGATCCAAAAAATGATATCGGTTCTAAACTGCTGTAATACGGTATTGCTAATACCGACAAGTCATTAAGACGCTTAGGCTTCCCTGATAGATGAAAATCCTGAAACGATCACTAAGTTAAAATCATAAAAATAGTTTGCAGAAAGCAATTTAAATTTTCATTGAGACTTTTGTAGTGATATATGAGGAAGAATAGTACTGCAGAATTAGTAATTATTGGACAAATTTCTACAGTGAATATCATGAAGTAATGCAAAATCAAAATGGGTCCCTAAATAATTTCTATTAACCTAATAATCTAGAATGCACGACTTGTCACGAAAAATCACTTTTCGTAACATATTCAAAACCTCACCTTACGACTGCTAGTGCAACAGCTCAACCGTGCGTATTTGACATATTTTACCATGTCAGCATCACTAGGCTTTTTAACCACAAAACCATATGCTTCTTTAGTTGTCAAAATGCCCATGCAATTCACCCGATTATCTGTAAACAGATATTTTAAAAACATTTTAAATCACTTCAAATCAACAAAGCCTGATTTATCTACTAGCATGATATGAATTAGTGATGATAAATGATGATAACGAACTTGAAATTTTTTGATTCAGTGTCACTTCTCTATTTGTTGGAGAGATTAGACGAAGTTTACCGATCTAAAAATATAGTTCTATTATATTCACATAATTTGGTAGAAAATTCATTCCTTAGCTTTAACGCCTATTTACTCTTCTTCCTCTCGTATAATATATAATAT